CCTTAGCTGCTTGAGCCACAGGCGCCGAGCCCCCCTAATCAGTCTTTTCAAAAATAATTTGTGTTAAAATTGCTATTCCTTAGTAAACTTGAGTAGCAATTTTCAAACTTCGGAGTCTCAGTCTTAGGATGAAAAATGGTTGAAGTTCCTTTCGTGATGTGGGTTGTAATCTATTGGTATTTACCATATTAGAAACAACATTTAGGAAACATTAAATAATATAATAACTAATTTCATGTTAATTCAAGTAACATTTTTCAAACAAAACATATTTGTGAGAGGAGTTACATTGTTTTACATTTTTGTGAATCTCTAATGTCTGGCTTAATAAAAGACCAGTGCATGTGCACCAAGGCTGGCAGGTTTGAACCAGGCCCGGGCCAGCTAAACAACAGTGACAACTGTAACAACAAAAAGTAGCCAGGCATTGTGGTGGACACCTGTAGTCCCAGCTACTTGGGAGACTGAGGCAAGAGAATCACTTAAGCCCGAGAATTTGAGGTCTCTGTGAGCTGTGATGCCAAGGCAATGTAATGCCATGGCACTGTACCAAGGGCAAAAAAAAAAGTCTGTCTCAAAAAAAAAAAGTCTGTTGTGACATCGTATGTCATGTGACCTCAGGAAACCTCTACCATAAACTCATGAGAAAATGAGACTGAAAAACCGAGTATCAGCTTGGTTATTATTTATAGTTTTTGTTTGTGGAACCTCCAGAGGTTCACGGAACATACCTTGAGAACAGCGAAACTAGAATGTTTAGGACAGTAGGACAGTTTTTGTAACTTTATAGCTAAATATAAAGTGATAAAGTAGTTTATTTTTCTAATTTAATTTTATTTAAATTATTGTGTGAATATTTATTTACTAAAAGACTAGGTAATAAAAATATTAGCATTTCATCTTACAGATTGAAATGCTGGTGTATTTTGAAGTTATTCCAAAGTGCTCAAAGTTGTTCTAGTGTGTAGATTTATTTTATAGGTGAGACCTTGTGTGAGGCAGCAGTTAAGATTGCTTGGCATTTCTCTCTGTAAGGTTTTTGGTAAATAAATGGTAAAATTCAGCACAGTGTTAAATTTTATAATAAACTATCAATTCTCTTTAATTCTTAAGTATTCCGGAGATTTTCTTTTATATCAAAGGCTTACAACATTTATAGTTTGAGTTTTTTTGGTTGTTGCTTAATTCTTTGAAGGGTTTGAAAATTAAAATGATAAACTTGAAATTTGCCATTTTAGGTTACAATGACATGTATTTTTCATTATTCAGTATTTATGTTGACCAGCATTTGTTAATTGACAGCTTGTTACTTGAGGTTATGTTAATTTTCAGCATTATTTTCTTCAGTGAATTAAATTGGTTGGAATAGCTATATTATTCTTTGAGTCAAGTTGTTTCACAAAATAAATGTAAACTTTTTCACATATAAAATGAAATGTTGAATATCCAGAACATACAACATTTTAAAAAGTATATTGTAACATGCAGAATTATACCACTTTATTTAGCAAATGTTTTTATATTTGTCTTTCATGTAATAGGTGAAGTATTACAGGCATTTAGCACCTGATCACTTGCTGCAAATATGTCATCGTCTAGGACCTCTTCTTGAACAAGAAATTCCTCAGAGTGTTCCTGGAGTACAAACTTTATTAGGAGCTGGAAGACAGTCCTTGCTACGTACAAATAAAAGTATGAAAATTTTCTGATAGAGTTTAGACCTTGCCTTTCTCACTTTGTTTTTGTGATCTATCTTTGTATGCGTAAACATGTGTCTGTTTAACAGGCTGCAAGCATGTCGTGTGGAAAGGGTCTGCTCTGGCTGCACTGCATTGTGGAAGACCACCTGAGTCTCCGATTAACTATGGCAGCCCACCCAGCATTGGTGAGTTGTTCAGTTTCACTGCATAGTTGATATGCTCTTGGTAAAGAACCTTTGAAAATAAAAGGTTTTTTAGTTATTATGATATGAGAGAACTTCATATTGTATACACCAGCATTTAAAAGTGAAAAAGTATCAGATTTTTTTTCCTTGTTAGTAGTTTTAATAGCCAAGAATTCATAATGTGTAATTATGGATTGTATGGATTGTGCTTTATGTAGGCCGATTAGCTTGTTTATTTTTGCAAACATTTTCTTACTAAAGTGTATATTATTAGGTTGAATTAGTAGGAATCAGTATCATAATTTAAGTTAGTTATAATAGAAAATAAAAAGTTATATTTTAAGAAGCACGGTGCCTTTTTTTTTTTACCTTTAAAGTTTCAAAGAAAGAAAACTGATGGAGATTAATCTCTGGAAACGCCTCCTAGCTCTCTTTTTCACCTCTGCTAGTCCCAGGCCCTTGTCTTACCTGTATTATCATAATACAGCATCCTCCAAACAGGTCTTCTTGTTTTTGGCGTCTTCTTCCTCTCTCCCTTCTAGTATACTGTGTAACACTGTGATAGTGACCTTGTGCCTTTACTTTGTCACTCTTCTGCTGAAGGTAGTATAAAGAGGTGATTAAGGTATTTTAATAATCTTGTACTTTATAATTAAGCCAACTCCTGACTTTCAGAGACCTGCACACTTTAATCATAACCTCTTCCTTGACACTCCCATCTTATGGACTAGCAAGGAATGTTATCTTCCTTTTTCTTAGTTACTTCTTTTTCTGGATACTTTTTATACTGTTGGTCAGTTTTGGTAGGTCATTGAAGGTACAAAGAACCGGGTTACACTGCTTGCATTTGTCAGGTAAAGTCTTTATGATTGCGTCCCATCCCCAAGAGATGTTTCACACACTGTCACCCCCCACCCCCTTCCTACTTCCCTCTCCCTGCTTCCAATTCCCCTACCCCTCACCATGTATTACCATCAATTGTCCTCATATCAGAATTGAGTACATTGGATTCTTGCTTCTCCATTCTTGTGATGCTTTACTAAGAAGAATGTTTTTCAACTCCAAGTTAATACAAAAGATGCAAAGTCTCCGTCTTTTTTAGTGGCTGAATAGTATTCCATGGTATACATATACCACAGCTTGTTAATCCATTCCTGGATTTGTGGGCATTTAGATTGTTTCCACAATTTGGCACTTGTAAATTAAGTTGCAATAAATAGTCCAATGCAGTGTCCTTAAGAGAAATGATTTTTATTTTTCTGGGTAGATGCCCAGTAATGGGATCGCAGGAGCAAATGGGAGGTCTAGTTTGAGGGTTCTCCATACTTCTTCCAAAAGGGTTGTATTAGTTCGCAGTTCCACCAGCAGTGTAAAAGTGTTTCCTTATCTCTATATCCACACCAGCATCTGCAACTTTGAGGCTTTGTGTTGTGGGCTGTTCTCACAAGGGTTAGGTGAGGTGTCAGCTTCTTTCTATTTTTTTGCAGTTTTTGGCCAGGGCTGGGTTTAAGCCCTCCACCTCTGGCATATAGGGCTGGTGCCCTACTCCTTTGAGCTATAGGCGCTGCCCCAGCTTCTTTTTATTTATCTTGTTTGAGATCTATTAGCTTTCTTGAATCTGTAATGTCTTTACTGACACTGAAAAATTCTCAGTCCTTATTTTTTTTTTTTTTTATTGAATGGTAACTATGTACATTAATGCACTTCTCGGGTACAGTGTGGGGTTTTCACACACAATCCGAAACACTTCCATCAAACTGGTTAACGTAGCCTTCATGTCATTTTCTTAGTTATTATTTTAAAACATTCACATTCTACTCTTAGAAAGATTCACTTGTACCCTTGTAAGATAAACCTCAGAAGTGATCCTTATCTTTTAAAATAACCTCTCCGCTCCATTTTTTTATCTTTTTTGGGACTTAACCAAGTATGCACATAAAACAAGTGAGATTTACATACTAGACTTTCTCATTTTATCTTTGTCACCGTATCTTAAACATTTTATATCTTTGTCTCTGTGGCATATTCTGGACCATTTCTTTCCTCTGACCTACTTTCTAAAGGTATCCTATATGGTATTTGCATGACTGGTAATCATGGATGATCATGTTTTCTTTTTTCACATATGACTGTTCTGGTTAAATAATTTAAATATGTAGTCTTATTATAATGAACAGCCATTGAAACAACAAAGGAATTTGAAACACTAGGGTATAATTGAACTTAGAAAATTACACTAATGAGTAGAATAGTTTTCCTGAAAGAAGAGGAAGGTAAAACATTATAGGAGCTTTCCCCTATAGGTAAAAGTTTCTTCTCTTTGAAAAACTATAGATTTATATTAGAAGGGGAGTATGTGACATTTATCAATGTCTGGTAGACCTGTGGTAGGCAAAGACAGTAAATAACTTTTAACATTACTGTGTGAGTAATTACTATGTACAAAGCACTACTTAAATTTTCTGTTAACATCTTAAATGCTCTGGAGGTAGGAACTACTATTCCTATTTTACAGTGAAGGAAACCAAGGCATGGAAACTTGAGGAAGGTCACATATTCTAAGAAGCAAAGCCGGGATTCAGCCCAGACTGTTTGACTCCATCATGCTATGCTTTCTTTATTCCCTGGAGGCTAAACTTTCTAGTAATAACACTTGCCTACTTAAGAAATTGATGTTAATCATCTTTTAGAAAGGATACCAAATATTTGTAAAATCAGATAAAATATTTTCTAGGTTGTTGATAAGCCAGTAAATAAATGCTGACATAGATGTAATGTATACACCTATAAATACCAGTAGTTTCCCTTACTGTTGTAGATACATTACAAGACCCCCAGTGGATACTTGAAAATGTGGATGGTACTAAACCCTCTGTATATGTGTGACAGAAATACCTTGGGTTTTGTGTGATGCATAGAAATGTGACTGGTAGATTCAGGTAACAGAATTAATTACCAAGCAGGTCATTATTGTACATTTTTGAAAGATTATTTCACTTTCATGGTTTAAGGTAAATTTTTTTTTTCCCCTTTTCCATTTACATTTTCAGGAAAGTCTTAGTTGCTTATTAAGAAATTTATTGGGTTAGCTTAATAAATTAACTGAAATTTATTAAGTTCTGCTTTAAGAAAAATCTCTACTAGGACACCAGTTTTGCATACTTTCAAAGATTTTGATTTACATATTTTTTGAAAATTGCTAGAGAGAATCTGGATTCTACGTGTATAGTCATAGTGTCAGGGTTCACTGTGGTATACAGTTTGTCTTGTCCTCATTATCAAGTTATGAATAGGATGGTGATAGGAAGAAGTGATTCCTCGTGCTTCTTGGAAGAATAATTTGCCTACATAGTACTACAGTGTGTTATTTCAAGCTATCACAGTATGGGTCAGAATAATTTTTTAAAAAAATATGAATGTAGTACTGATTTATTTTTCTTCTGTTGATTTCTTTGTCATTTTCTGTCTGGCTGCCTTGAAAAGTTTTCTTTTCTCTTTTTGTTAGTTACTATGATATTGCCAAGTATTAGGGAGAGAAGAGTAAGAAAGACTCAACATTTAAGACAGTACACTGTACGTAGGGTTTGTTCATTTTCTTATAATAACTTAAGGAATAATGTAAGATCAAGTTGATGGGAATAATTGGATTTTATTATTTCAAATCATATACAAAACTATTAGACTTGTCTGTTTGAATGTCTTAAAGTTAGATACAATAGAACTTTTACTTGTCTGAACTTGTTATTCCAAGGTAGAAGTCTGGAAGTCGTTTTATTTTCAAAAGACTTAATTTTATTTATTTATTTATTTATTTATTAAATCATAGCTGGGTATATCAGTGCAATCGTGGGGTACAATGTGCTGGTTTTGTATACAATTTGAAGTATTTTCATCAAACTGGTTAACAGCCTTCACTGCATTTTCTTAGTTATTGTGTTAAGAC